TTTTAAATGAATAAAAATCAAAATAAATTAAATAAACAAATAAATAAGGCATGGAGGGTCCCATAGGTCGTGGACCATGCTAGGGTTGAGATTCAATCTTGAAAAGATGGGCCCATGTGGAAAAAATGCAATTTTGGGCATTGTTGACTGTGCAAATTTCCAAAAATGGCCAACTTTGAAAATGCATATCTCTCTCAATTTTGACCCTAAGAGGGTGTTCTTAGACTTTTTATAATGCTTAGGATATCCTCTAAACAAACCTTTTGGTTTAATCTCCATTAGATCTTCCATGTTCATGTAAGAAGCTTTGACCCAAAAGGTGTTTTTGTTGACTTTTTGAAATGACCTATAATGTATGAATTTGTATCTTTTGATTGAGGCATTTCTTGACCTTGAGGTCTGAATAGGAGTTGTAGGGAATTATATTCTCTTAAAAATGAGCCTTGGATGAGAAATTTCTGATAAAATATGAGAAAGTTATGCATGGTCAAAGTTTGGTTGACTTTTCCTATAGGAACCCTAATTTAGCAACTTTTGAGTTTTGATGAATTAGGAGAATTCCTTGAGGAATCATGACCAACCCTTGATAATATGAAGGATATCACTTCAAAATGTTTATGTTAACCAAAAATCTTGAAGTTTGACTGTATGTGGGTCACATTTGACTTTTGACCTAGTACAATTGATTTTCAGGCATTTGAGCAGTTGACTGAGCAAACTTCTTATGCAAGGCATGGAACTTGGCATGGATGATCTTAAGGAAATATTAGGGAAATGGAAACCATTTAGGACCCTTGGAACTCAAACATCTTGATGAGGAGTGAAACTCTAGTTTGAGGCTCATTGTCTTAGGAGGAGGATTTGTTTGGTCAATCGCCAGTCAACTTGAGCAATTGAGGACCTCTAGGAGTATGTTTTGAGTAAAATGAGAGGGCAAATTTTTGGGTACAACAACTGCCCCTGTTCAATCTTCTTAAACCCGAGGATTTAGATTGGCTTGTCTTCCTTTCGTGATCTGAGGGTAGAAGATGATTGAACACTAGAGTGCCCAGAAATTTGCACTCGCATGAAGTGAATGTCAATCGATAATATCGAGAATGGGCTTACAGATGCCATTTGGAAGGTGACGGAGAATCGTCGGGGATGGGCTTAAAGATGCCATCCAGAAAAGATATCTGTTGCACAAGAGATTCCTTTGCGAGAATTCATGTAGTTTCCGTTGAGGAGGACTTCGCCGGGGAATGTTGATTTATGTCCTGGGAAATAGAGTCTAGGAGCTTCAGTTGTCCATTACTCTACTAGGGTATTAACTCTTGATTAATGAGACAAAAGTGCGCTGTTATCTGGTCGAGTCCGAGTTTCACGGTGACTTACTGGGGAATATGAAATAGACCGTGTCTGGCCGGGTCCAGGTTTTACAGTGTTGTAAACTATTGTCCGGAGATAAAAGAGAAGGAACCTTCATAGGGCTTTCTCGGGATAAGTCCCTGCAAAACTGCGTCAGGTAATTCATGAAAAGGAGCTTGGATAGTAGGGCTATGAGAAGGAACCTGGGTAGTAGGGTTACTTCAAAATGAAGCCTGGGTCGTAGGGCTGCTTTGGACCAAAAGCCTGGGTAGTAGGGCTATGAGAAGGAACCTGGGTAGTAGAGTTACTTTGAAATGAAGCCTGGGTAGTAGGGCTGCTTTGGACCAAAAGCCTGGGTAGTAGGGCTATGAGAATGAACCTGGGTAGTAGGGTTACTTCGAAATGGAGCCTGCATAGTAGGGCTGCTTCAGAATAAAGCCTAGATGGTAGGGCTGTGAGAAGGAACTTGGGTAGTAGGGTTACTTCGAAATAAAATCCTGGGTAGTAAGGCTATGAGAAGGAACCTGGGTAGTAGGGTTACTTCAAAAATAAAGCATGGGTAGTAGGGATATAAGAAGGAACCTGGATAGTAGGGTTACTTTGAAATAAAGCCTGGGTAGTAGGACTGCTTCGAAATAAAGCCTGGGTGGTAGGGCTATAAGATGGAACCTGGGTAGTAGGGTTACTTAGAAAATAAAGCCTGGGTAGTAGGGCTATGTGAAGGAACCTGGGTAGCAGGGTTACTTCGGAATAAAGCTTAGGTAGTAGGGCTGCCTCATTTGATCACATAGATTAGTTGACCTATTTGGTTTTGGGAACTGATTTTTCATTAGTTGTCTGCAGATATGACCTGTATAGCTTTATGGATTTAATCTTGAACGGTTGGAATTGTTGATGATAACCATCTTTCCTGAAAAGGTATAAGATTAATTATATGCGAAGCATGAAATGCATTGTGTGATGATGTTCTCAAAATAAATGAGATTATGTTGTATGCAATATGTATGCGCACGTCATGATATATGAACATGAAATGCTATTGTGACATATCCGAGTCTGGGAAGATAAATCCCCGACTGCTGTTGGAGAGTATTGTAAATTGAATTCCTGACCATTGTAGAAAAAATGGTTCTTCTACTTCCGCTTGGGATGGTGAACGGAGATGACTATGCCGTGGATTTAATCCTTTCTGTTTGTGAATATTCTGTCGGGGAGAGACTCGGCTTGAGAATAACTTTGCAGGGGAATATCTCTGTTTGAGAGATGAGATGCTTTGCTGGAAGATTTTTCCGATTCGGAGAAATAAACTCCGCCGGGGGATGAACTTCCATAGCTAGAGGAATAAACTCTATTGGGGATTGAGCTTCTGTATTCAGAGAAATAAACTCTGCTTGGGAGGCAACTTTATGAACCGCTTGTGATTATAAAATTCGGCTGGGGAATATAGATGTCATCTCTCTGAAGGAACTTTGCTGGGGAAAGTATCTCCTGTTTGTGGAAGCCGATGTCAATGCTTTGGTTGCCTCTACTCTGTGGGGAGTGTAGACGTCACGGGGTCACATGTAATGGTGACCTTGTTTCAAAACTGTCCCTGCCCCTATTTCTTAAGTTATAAGCAACTGTCTTTCTGTTTCTTATGCGAATATTTGTGAATAGCAATCATATTCAAATGCATATGTCAAGAATAAATCATTGTATGTTTTTGCAAAACAAAATAGAAAAAGAAAAACAAATGGTTTTGTAAAAATGACTTGTATTAATTTCTGAAGTTGGTCTATAACACGTATTTTTATACAAGGAAGCTGACGCTCTAGTAAGAGAACGCCGCCGTGAAAATGAAAGCTATACAATATTGTGTACAAAGAATAAGAAAACATCTATGTGTAATAATCCCATTGAGTTTCGATTTTGCTATTGCCGCCATGTCTTCGAGCGTCTCATCACTTTGCTGCTTGTTCGAAGCTGACTAGATTGATTGGAGCCATTTTGAGCATGATAGATGATGCTGAAGTCTGGTCGCAAGGTGATCCAATGGGACATAGTGATACATTTTAAATCCCTAACTTTTTCCTGGACCGCCCTTTCGGGTTTTCAGTCCACCGGGATACCCTTTTTTGCCCAAGCCGCCTTTTCAGGTTTTCGACTTGCCGGGTGTACATGTTTTTTTTGTTTTCATCCCTAATTTTTGCCCCAACCCTTTTGGTTCACCGGGAAGCCCTTATTTTTGCCTAGGCCAGTCAACCTAGCGGGTCTTATTTATGCGTAGTATCTTTTCACTATTGTTGCACCCCAAAATTTGCCCTCCTAATTGCACTTTTATGGCTTAAACTTTTTGCATTCATCCACATCATTCCAATGGGTCATTTGCATAGCACGCATTTTTCATAAAGTAGATCGCCTGAGGCTCAAAAGATCAGCAGTTAGGAAGCTAGGGTTTACAGCTGATTTAAGGTGTATGTGTTGGATAAGTTTGATTATCTAGGGTCTTCTCGGTGTACAAAGTTTTGGAATTAAGGTTCAAGGCTCATTTCTGGACTTCTTCTCCACCAAGTTACTGGGCTAATATCTTTTGATGAACAACTGGTTGTAGGTCATTCTGGTCAAGAACTCTAGGACGTGACCTAGCATACGTGGTCTTTGAATCAAGACATCTCCTCATATAAGTGTGCCTATCATTTGATCAGGCTTAATGACTTTGACATGGCATTCATCCACTCTTCAATTAACTAATTCAGGTTTTGTCGAATCATGGTTCGGAGAATCATTGGTTGTGGAGCTCAGGTTTTCCTCTGGTTCAAGGTGTTTATCAAATAAGACTGATTCTTCTGGCGCATTGGTTTGTGAATTTAGGGTTTTGATTGATGGTTGTTATGGATTTCTTCTTCATCAAGCTACGAGGTTATTTTATTCATCTCAAAATCAAGTTGCAAGATTGTTATTTGTTAAGTCTGAAGATTTGGGTTCATTTCCTTATGTCTATTGAAAGATCATGCTTTGTTTCATTTCGAAGACATTTTGAACATTATTCTATCCATGTTTCAAGTCGTCACTGCGCACCTAATACAAGTGGGTGCTCTAGGAGGTAAAATTTTATTTACTACGCATAGCCACTCGATTGCTCCCATGACGGGAACCGTTTCCTCGCACAACTTAGAAAGCCTTTCTCTTGAAGATTCATTATATTTTTTAACGGGTCTTTAAAGAAGGAGAAGCAAGGAGGTATCCACATTTGGTAAATATCGGAAGGGAAATTGTGAAAAAATGTGGTGGGATTCCCTTGGCAGTGAGAACAGTTGGGAGTTTACTTTTTTTCAAAAATATGAAACAATTCGGTATTGGGGAAACATGAAAGACAACGAAATTTGGAATTTACCGGGCACATATGGGATTTTACCTGCACTTAAGTTAAGCTATGATCAAATGTTATAGGATGTGAAAAAAAATGCTTTGCTTTGTTCTCCATTTACCCAAAGTGTCATGCATTTAATATTTTTCATGTAACACCACTATGAGGAGCCCTCGGGTTTCTTCCAGCCCCAAACAGAAATCAAAATCAAATATTGAAATATAGTGCCAACCAATATTTGTTTGAACTGCTGTCAATATCTTTTCTTCAAGATTTTGTCGATTATGGCATTGGTTTCATTTTCAAAATGCATGATTCGGTGCATGATCTAGCTATGTACGTTGCAAGTGTGGACTTTAGGGGAACTTCTTATGTCCGCCATCTGTCTTAAACTGAAAATACAGGGCTTAATGAAATTCCATTTGCACAATTAGTCTTTACGAAGAACATATTATTTCCTATTGTTGGAATTGGATCAAACAGTACAACTTTCTTGAATAGATGCATGTCAGTATGTAAACACCTGCGGTTTTTTTTATTTTATTTAAGCTATTCTGCATATGAGACCTTGCTGGCCATTGGGAAATTGGTGTTTTTAAAATATCTCAGTCTTGAAAAAAATAAAAAGATTAAGAGAATTCCAGATTCTATTTGCAACTTCCTGAGGTTAGAAATATTGATACTTAGTGGGTGTACAGAACTTGAGACACTTCCTAAAGGCTAAAAAAAAAAACTTGATCAGTCTCCAACATTTGGAAATAACAACAAAGCAGCGCATTTTTCCAGAGGATGAGATTGCAAACTTGAGTTCTCTTCAGACTCTCAGAATCGAGTTTTGCAGCAATCTAGAGTCATTATTTGGAATGTTAAAACTTCCAACTCTCAAAGTATTGAGTGTTGATAATTGTAAAGCTCTAAAGTCTTTGCCACTTGACATTGAACATTTTCCTGCATTAGAGACATTGTTAGTTGACAACTGTGACATGTTGCAGTTGTCGGAGGAACATCTGAGTTGCAAATTTTTACTCTGTAAAGAAATGGTGCAATGGACTCGCGAGGAAAAGCGTACCTTTCTGAGGCAACGAGTTGAGGCAAGACTTGCTACTCTTCTGATGGAAACTAAGGAATACTCACAAGCTTTGACTCTCCTTAATGGCTTGATCAAAGAGGTTAGGAGGCTAGATGACAAACTTCTTCCTGTAGATATAGACTTGCTCGAAAGCAAGCTACACTTTTCCTTGAGAAATCTTCCCAAAGCAAAAGCTGCTCTCACAGCCGCAAGAACTGCTGCAAATGCTACTTATGTTCCACCAGCTTAACAAGGTGCCATAGATTTGCAGAGTGGAATTCTTCATGCTGAAGAGAAGGATTACAAAACTGCATATAGTTATTTCTTTGAAACTTTTGAGTCTTTCAATGCTCTTGAAGATCCCAAAGCTGTCTTTAGCCTAAAATACATGTTGCTGGAATCATATCTTCTAAAGCCGGCCTATGGTATATTGGACCTGACTTGGATGCAATGAAAGCTGTTGCAGATGCTCGTTCCAAAAGATCCCTGCATTATTTGAAACTGCTTTACGAGACTTCAAGGCGCAGTTGGAGGAAGATCCAATTGTTCGTAGGCACTTGTCATCGTTGTATGACACTCTTTTGGAGCAGAATCTTTGCAGGTTGATTGAACCATTTTCAAGGGTTGAGATTACGCATATTGCTGAAGCCTTATTTGAGGTTCTGGATGAAATTCACTAGCAATCAGTGGTTTTATCTTCCCACCTTTTTGTATCTTCTATCGGATCTGTTCCCGCGCCTGTTGAAGTTGCCGAATCCTTACCTGTTAAAATATACACAAAGTCACACAAACATCAAGAAGGACTTAGAAGGCAATTTAGAACTAGTGGTAGTTACCCTGAAAACGTTGACTCCCATATTCGTCTCAATAAGGGTACTTTGTTGAATTCGTTGTGGAAATTAAATGTAGTGGACATAGAAGTAACCCTTGCATACATGTGTCAAATGGTGCTAAAGGAAAATGATGTCCAGGAGGGAACTCCTAGCCCGTCCACAGTTCAACCCTGCATAGAAAGATTAAAAAGCAAAAATCAATAAACAGTTAACAGTCCAGTTCTAAGAAATTGTAACAAAGCATAATTCTAACCATTCCAAAACAGATTACTAACAGAATTCCTCTTAAACTAACAACTGATTCCCTAACTAATTCCCCTCAACTGTCCTAACTAAATTCTAACATTTTTTAAACTACTTCCCAAACTGCAAATAGCCCAACTAACAGAATTTCCAACTAACTTGTAACAAAAACTAACAGCTAACTGCTCTAACCGAATTCATCTCGACCATTCATTACCTAACCAACTAATTTTAATCCAGTGGCCAAGAATGCACAATTTCTAACATATTTTGAGAGCTATATAACAGTGGGGGGATTCATTTTAGTGAGATACGATTATTCACACAAAAAAAAAACTCAAAGAGAAACTTCACTCATTGAATACAAGAGAAGACTCACCAAAAAAATCTGAAAATCTCTGCAAGTTTCTACTAAGTTCAGCTTCTTCAACGATCAAAACCTCCACTCTTCGTCCTCAATATCACCGCCAATCATCATCATCGCATCAATTCTGCAACATCCACACAACTGCATTGGCATTGTCTTGATGCAACAATCTTCAATCTTCATCTTTGTTTCACAGCAACTTCGTCAAGAATCTGCAATCAACAACAAGGAATTCATCATATTTTTTTTGTCATCATCATTAACATTCATTCAACATCAGCAAAAACAGACGATAACGCACCAAGGAAGCTGAAATTCAAAGAAGAATTTGGAGTAGAAGAGTCAAGAACGTGAACGATAAGGAGAGGTATAAGAAGCATAACAATGGAAAATACCCGAATCTCTTGATTTCTTACAACATCGACATCATCGTCGGATTATACGGTGCAAACTGAGGGAAAGAGATGACAAGATGGTGTTCTGGGTTATGGTGGCGTTGTATCGCCGCGGATCGGAGGAGGACGGAGTCATAACGGCATCGTCGTTGTTGTTTTGATTATAGAAGAACAAGCTTCTTCTAGAGCTTCTCATCTTCATACACCCTCCAATCTTCGCATGATTCAAGCTACCGAATCCGCTGCAATCGTGTCACAAACCAACAAATAATGCATCACGATCTCATCTTTAAGAATCAACAAAGAACGCATCGGAGATAAGCAAAGAAGAAGGAAGAGCGGAACAATACCGAATGGTGGAGAAATCGTCGGAGTGTGAAGACGATGTAGCCGCGTCGTTTGAAGCTCGTGAGAATGAAGAAGCTTGTTCTTCGTAAAAGCTGAATCGTCACAAAACTCAACCCTAACTCATGTCGCCATTTTTCATCTTTCATTTTGTTTTCACTGAACTGTTCCATTTTCTTAAGTCCAAGGAAGTTTTTTCGGTGAGCTGAAGCAAGATGCAAAAAAAGACTACTTTGGTTTGACCGGGTTGGGTTGAATAACATTCTGAAGCCCAACATTTTTTCTTTTGGAAGCTGGCTTGCTGCGAAAAAAAAGAGAGAACCTTGCTGGGCCTAGCGCCCAAGCCTTCTAGTGGCCATACTCTCGGATTTCAGTCTATACCCCCTTTTGACTAGAATTCTAGTTTATTTTTTTTCATTAATTTCCTTTCCATAATTTTTGATAGTCAAAATTATTCATAAAAAACCAAAAAAATTTGTTAATTGTTTTTTTAGGAATATAATATAATTTCTCTAGATTTTTCTTCTTTTAGAATTTTGTTAGAATTTTATTTTATGATTTATGGTTAAGTAATCATTTCATTTCCGATGCTTCATACTTCACCTTTTGCTTGTTGAGGTCTGAAATCTCATGCAGGTTTATTGTGCAATATTTGGATGCGCTTGAAATTTCGATTGTGATTTATTTTCACAATCAATGATGCGTCGACACTTATTCCGGGCATTTGGTTTCTAACTCTCCTCTTTGAACGGTAAAGCTTTCGCGAAGATCGTCGGATTTCTTTGTTTTGTTCGCTTTACTACGGATTGATACCCGTTTGGTATTTTCTCTTGTTTATCTCACTTCACACTTTACTGTTTTTCTAGAAATCATGAGAAACTGGGCTTTATTCTAAATCCATGTATGCTAACATTAGGTAGACGTTCCCTTTTTATTCACCCTTGACTTAGGTCTAATAGTATGATGACTTTAGGTTTAGAAATAGGTTAGTCTCCCTGTGACTTTTCTTTTTTCTTTTCGCATATGCATTTAAAAACAAAAACTTCTTTTTCTCGTAAACTTCAAAATACTAAAAATCTACTGACAAGAATCATATCTTCGTTAAGTATGTGAGACGATAAGCGGGTCTCTTCTTGACCTTATTGATCTCTTATTCTAAGATTTGGTGTGGTTCAAGTCTCAAAGACTCATTTCATGAATAAGTAGAGACATGGCTAAAATCTCTCTCTTGAGATCAACTAGCTATTATCTACAAGCAAAAATACCAACCAATACAAACTCTTTTTGCCTTCGGGCCCTTCCTTTCAAACTCTTTTCAAAAGAGCGTACTAATTCACTTCTGTGCTGACGCGTAAATCTCCAAAGGTCGAGTTGCAGCAAAAGGCGAAATTACTATCGTTCATTCAAAAACAAACGAGTTCAAACCTTTTTTGTGCGTCCAGGCACATTTCTTTCCAAACTTTTCAAAAGAGCATATTAATTCACTTCTGTGCTAACGCGTAAATCTCCAAAGGTCGAGTTGCGGCAGAAGGCGAAATTAATACTGTTCAGTAAAAAAATACAAACAAAAACATAATCCGAACTACGGCTGCTCTGATTCCTTAAAAGGGATACGTAGGCATCGGGGTAGGGCCCGAACGAGCACAAATTTTATTTTCCCTACATTCTTTTCCCTTTCTTTTGCATGCATTCCCTCCAGTAGTATAGTAGACAGTAAGCATAGATTAAATACACCCATAAGATAGATAATAAGAGTGGATACCGTAGAGTACTACGAGCGTGTGGGGTGCTAATACCTTCCCCTCTCGTAACAGACTCCCTTACCCTTATCTCTTGGTCGTTCGACCTTGATTTCATCCTTCTCGGGTTTTCTCGATGTTTACCTTTCCCTACCTTTGGGATAAAAGACGTTCGATGGCGACTTCATTGTTTGATGATTTTCAGCCGGTTGTTTCAGCTGGCGACTTCACTGGGGATAGGTCGACCAAATGCTGGTCCATCCCAGAGTCGCTCCTAGCTCTTGTTTTCTTTTCTTTGGGTGTTTATTTTTATGCTTTCAGTTTACTCATTTGTACATGTTTGTCTGAGCATAAGTTTGCATTGCATTTTATTGCTTTACCTATTTGTTATCTATTATGCTGGACTCTGTTTTCCATATTGGGTGGGGATGTCACTATTGAGGTAAAAGGCCCAGTACCCAGGCCAGAGTGCACTAGGACACCTAGGACTAGAGTGGGGGCATGACGGCTATAGGACGTGGTCCGATTAGTGCAGTCTTGTCATATACCACGCTCGGATGAGGTTCAAATGAATTACTATCGGCACCCACGTCTGTGGGTAAGCCCATAGCACTTTCAGGAGGACCCGTGATTTTCGAGTTACCATTGTCTTACCCTGACCTAGTCTTCACCCGTGAGTGGGGAGGGAATCTTATCACAGGTACAGTTGGTGACTATGTTCAAATGGTTACTC